ATTCATGTGGGGGACGCTGGGCCCGTTTCCCCGCTTTAATTGAAAGTTGTTAAAAAAAAAAAAGAAGTGAGGTCCCGCAAGCATGGGGCCTAGGATTCTTTCTTCCCATCTCCGCATGACCGCATGACTGGCTCATTACGCATTTCTGGGCGGAGAAAAAGAAAAAAAGAAAAAATGCAAAAGGGACCAAAACGTTAGCAAAGTGGCAGCAGTCAAGGGCACATCTATCTTTGGAAGGGCGCTTTTTTTGAACGCTGCAGTTTTCTGACAGATATGGTACCCCCGAGCTATGAGGAGTTATCTATGGAAAGCAACGGATGAGGAGGGAGTGGGGTATATAGTCAAAATCGTATGGAAAAAGGTAGTGGGGAGTAAATCAGATGGGGGCCTGGGAATTAAAGACCCGGAAATGCAGGTGAACGCACTACTGGCCAGATGGGTGTTGAAGCTCCTCTATGCAGAAACAGGCCATCCGTGGGTGGAGCTGGCGGTGGCCATTCTTATGCAGGAGTGGGGCTTGTGCAGGAGGGGGGACGTGTGGTTGGCCCTGCTCACACCCTCCTTAGTGAAAGGGCCTATCAACTCCCCGGTCTGGAGGGACATTCGCCGTGTGTGGTCCCAAATCATGTCGGTGCAGCTCCAAGAACCACGAACCAGGGAGGATATTCCAGCACATCTTTGAAAACATTTTTATCTGCGATGACAACGGGATCCCCTGGTCCGCCAGTGATGGCACCGGGCAGTTTGGCGAGAGCTGGATCCAAAGAGGAGTTGCGTGGGTATCATATTTATGGAACACGGACCTATCGCAGTGGAGGTCTGCTACCGAACTCAGATCTAAGCTGCACCATCTGCGGGCGGTGCCAGTAAGGCTTGACGGTATACTGTCCAGCATCCCGCAAGTGTGGAAGGATACTCTCGAAAATCCTTGTCCGGCGTACGAGGGCCAGTGGGTGGTGCAAGGTGGAAACACAGTTCCCGTGGAAGTATGGAAGGTCCTGTCCTATCTGGATCAGGAGCAGGCAGCGATCACCTCGTTTTCAGTATCTGAAGAGGGTCAGGGAGCCGGCCGTTGGTTGAAGGAGGAGGACAAGGCGGTTCCCATGCAACAGGTTGCCTCTATCATGGTCACCTCCATGAAACCCCCCAAAGATGGAGTGGTACATTATTGTCCCGTGGGAGTAAAACTGGTTAATAAGTTGAGGGCAATCCCCTCAGAATGGGGTTGGCACCTACTTGAACCCCCCAGAGTTAGGAATCTGTTGGAATACTCTCCTACAGTGGGGTATCAAGTTCAGAGGCAAGTCTTGGTCCTTACAGTTAGGCGTGAGGAATCGGTGGCAAATGGAAGCTAAGGACAGATCACAGCAGAAGGGTGCTATCTTGTCAACATCTCTAAGGAAGCTGTGGAGAAGCCTCGAACGGTTTCCTTCCGCCAAAATGGGCAGTTTGATGTGGCTGCAGTCTCACAGGATTGTGCCGACACCAAGCTGGCTCAGGGCAAATAGGGTACAACTGGACACTCAGTGTCGAAGATGCAGACGAGCAGAAGAAACAGCCACACACCTGTGGTGGGACTGCATTGAGTCCAAAAGGATATGGGTCTGGTGGACCGGTCTCTGGCTTGCACAGGTCGAAGACCAGGTACAATAGGATGAATGCTTTGTGATCGAAGGCATCCTGCATAATGCGGAAGCATTAGGCCAGGGGTGGGAGTATGTAGCCATAGCCTGCAGGGCGGCCATGATGCAGGTTATATGGAAACTGAGAAATGATAGAGTGTTCAAAACCAAATTCTACTCTGACAGGGACATCAAGAACATGGTCCTCGAGGGGGTACTGTCCCTGGTATGGGCAGATTGGAGGCGCACTAGAAGAGCTCGTAGCAAGAAAGCAGCCAGGGAACGTTTCTCTCGAAGCTGGGGTCCGAAAGTTAGATTCCGTAACTTAAAGTCCACGGGCATTGTGTTGGAACCTTGGCTGTTGGGGCCCAGACCTCCGTGAGTAGCTAACATGAGTTTTGGGTACCTATCCCGACAGAGTAGTCGATGTCCAATCAAGCCCATTGTGAAATTAGTCGGGGTTATAAGGTGCTCAAAATATTCTGGAAGACTTACAGTAGTCTAGGCTGATGATATAACCTCCAGTGGTTGTATCACCTGAAATACTTAAAAACAATCGAATCACCTTTTCTGCCTTTGTATTGGATAGGACTAGGATTCATGGATTGATCTGGCGCCAATACAGTGAGAGGTCCTACGTATCCGGGACTGCAGAAGAGTAAGTTGGATGAATGTGTTGACTTCGATGTTATGATTGTTCTGTGAGGGACGATGGACCCGGTTTCCAGCAGGTGCAGCTCCCCACGAATAGATTGGAGCCATTCCGTCCCTATCACCTGGGGCTCTTACACCCAGGTGGCAGGGGCTAAGGTCGGCCTGATGTTAACCCCCCCCCCCCGGAAAAAAAAAAGCGTTAGCAAAAACAAAAAGAAAAGAAATAAAGCTAGCTCTGATGTCCATAAATAATGGAGTATTAAAAATTAAAAAAGAAAAGAAAAGAAAAGAAAAGAAAATAAATGATGGATTAGTGCTACGCAGCCATTGCGATTTTGAGATAACCTTCATATCCCATCAATCAAAATCCAAAGATTACCACTGATCCACGACACGACCACAACAGAATGAGCGTTTTCTTCGATATGGGATGAGGTGGCGGCGAGGCGAGGGAAGGAGAAGAAGAGGAGAAGAGGAGAAGATAGGAAGAGAGCAAAGTCAATCAAAGAAGACGAGAAGATGAAAAGATAGGAAGATTCACCGGATTAGTAAAACCTAACAAAACCACAAAACCTAACATTTTTTATAGAATGAAAAAGTAAAAGTCGAACTGTTCTTTTTGACACATAAAAGAGAATGTTTTTAACTGTTTCTCGAGAAAGGAGGCAAAAAAAAAAAAGGGCAAAAACTCTAACGATTCTCAAAATTTGCAAAAAAATCCTTTCCTGCACATAGCATGTTATAAGACTATCAGTCGTTCTCAGTAGATTGGCAAAAAGCATAGCTAAAACAAGAAAATCTTTAGGGACCGCAAGGCAAAATCGAACGATGTTAAAAAAAACAGTTTCAGTGAATACTCATTTATAGAACTATAAGTCATTTTCAACAGTTTGGTAAAAACCAAGCTCTGCGAAAACTTGTTTAATGTTAAAAAAAACAGTTTCAGTGAATACTCATTTATAGAACGATAAGTCATTTTCAACAGTTTGGTAAAAACCAAGCTCTGCGAAAACTAGTTTATAGAACTATAAATTAATATAAATCCATTTTTAAGTTACTTGTAAAACCCTTGTCAAAAAATATATGTTATGTAAAAGAAGAATTCAAACAACTTTTGCTTGGGAGACATCTTCAAATTTTAGCCAACCACGATTTAAAATTAAAAAATGGAAAAATGTTTTAATAAAAAACCATGGTTGTCAACCGGACGTCGGAATCGGGATCCAGACGGTCCGGTCTGGATGTCTGGATCATGTGTCCGGTTTGAGAGGTCCAATTGGGCACGATTTTGAGAAAATTTGATTTTTTTTTGGGGAGTCCCCAAACGATTTTCCAATGCCTGGTGGACCCCCGAAAATTGTTGCCACAGTTTTTGGTGCACCGTTGGGCCAACCGGACCGGCCCTGAAGGGCCTGTACTTGCAATCTTGGGTGAGCTTCAACGAGCCAAGGAGAATCGGTTGTGTGTGTGTGTGTCACTGTGTGTGTATGTGTGTGTTGTCATATTAGCTATACAGTAAAAAAAAGCATGATTGTGCCAGACTCTTTCGTCGGACTTTCACCGACTCATCAGGATGTTGAACCCCGACAATCTGCCCCGGATTCATTAAATTTGACTGATGGATAAGGACTCACAACATCACCCAGAGTTTGCGACACCCCTGAGAAAAGTGGTCTCTGTGTGTGTGTGTGTGTGTGTGTGTGTGTGTGTGTGTGTGTGTGTGTGTGTGTGTGTGTGTGTGTGTGTGTGTGCGTGCGTGCGTGTGTCGGTGTGTGTGTGTGTGTGTGTGTGTGTGTGTGTGTGTGTGTGCTGTCTCTTATACACATCTAGATGTGTATAAGAGACAGCTATGAACCAGGAGCGATGGCCATCATTAGCGTATCAACGGAGGGATTGCGGATGGCCTACAAGGACCTTTATGTAAGATTTGAAGAAAATAAGGNTTTTTTTTTTTTTTTTTTTTTTTTTTTTAAATCCGGACATCCGGACCTGTTCATTCATAACTGGACCATCTGGATCCGTATGTCCGGTTGTCCGGATCGGTGTCCGGATTACCGGACGTCCGGATTAATCCAGACACGGGTCCGGGCTCGGTGTTTGGTGTCTGGATGTCCGGGTCCAGGGCAACCATGTAAAAAACACTAAAAACCAATATACTCGTCCATGTATGAGAGAACATATCCAAGTGAACGTATTCGTCAACAGGACAACATGTGTGCGTGTTTGGGAAACCCCCGAATAGGTTCGTCGTGCAACATACGTTATAGAACTATAAATATGATTGTTTTAGATAAACAGAAGATTGGGATATTTCGGTTCCTCAACAAACGGTGCTTTGCAAGGTAGTGATTTTTTGTAAAAAAACATGCTTCTCTCCTCACCACTTCTAGTGGTTCTGAAAAAGTACTTTTCTATTCCTTTTTTGCGGTTAATTTACTTCACATAGAATTTTGTTCATGTAGGAGCCCTGAAAAATGTACTATCAGAATCTTTAAAAAAAATTATGCAAAGCTGACAATTTTTTTGGTCATTTGCCATTTGCCAAATTCTTAGGACTTTTGTCGGTTGTCAAATTTTCCGGGTTTCTGCCAATTTTTTCAGGACGGTATCTCACAAACCTTGAAGAAGGTACTTATTCCCCTCATTTTATTTTCAAAATTTCCGTTTGCAACTTTGGTGCTGTTTATGAATTCTGAGTGTGACAGTGAACCATCCTTTTTGCAGGTCCTTGCATCCTCCCCCCCCCGCCCTCTTCTATTCTCTGACATTTCATGTCAGCTTCAATCCTTGCAATTCCTTCTTGATCCTCCTCCTCCTCCTCCTACCCCTCTTTGTGTGGGCATCATGACCACCCTTCATTGGCGAATCGTCCAGCCACCTTTATCTTGTACGCGCAACAATGGGATTCAACGGCAAAATCAGAAAAACGGTGGCTCTTCATTTGAGGGTCATCCTCATCAAAGGGCAGGCATGTGTTCTTCGAAGCTTGACTTGAGCAGCAGCATGCTCCCAAAGTGCAGAAGCTGTGAGTATCGGAGGTTCAGATTGCAAGCGTTGGCGCCTTCAAGGCATCAGCATCATGATGACGCATCTGGTCCACGAATGGCTCTAAGTACACCCGATCCAGGTATAGAAGAATCTGGTCCCCAAATGGCTGAATAAGTACATCGGATGCTGGGATAGAATTAAGTCTTTTTTCTTTCTTATATAACTAAGCGATATCCTCTCTCTCAGTCTATCTGTATACTCATCTTTCTCGTCTATCTTATCCTGTCGCTAGTCTGTGTATGTATAGTACGGGGGAATACCAATCATCACAGATCTCCCCCTAGCCCACGAGGCAGGTTTGCACCTACCAGCCCCTCATTACGGTGATGCGGGGTGGGTAGGCATTGCCGATGGGGGAAAGCGGAGGTGCTAGTGCCGAGCATTATGGCCAGTCGCTGCACCTCCCCCTATGATATCGTTGCTGCATAGCAGCCAACAGCATTGGCCAAGGTTCTGCCAATCCCGGCTTGGGGGGCCAATGGGTTTTCTCTAGCTGGTAGAACACCAAGCTTGCCCAGGCACGTACATAGAGGCCAATGGGGATTGAACCCACGAGCTCCTGACTTCAACTTCTGCGCGTTACCAACTGAGCTAGGCCCGCAGGCAGTCTTTTTAAGATGTCAGAAATTAAGAGACTTGAATGACTTCCACACGCACACACCCTTATATCCATATTTAGGGTTGGGGGGGGAGGGGGAGGGAGGGAGCGAGGGAGGGATGGAGGGGAGAGAGGGAGGGAGGGAGGGAGGGGAGGGCGGGGCGGGTGAGGGGAGAAGAGAGAGAAAGTGTATTATGTATTGGGTGTAGCCGTGCTGCCCATGCAGTTGAGGTTTAGGACAACCCACCCACACACTGAAGTTCAGTTTGTTTCTTCCTTAAGCAAGTTCTCTCCTTGGCTTGGTCTGGAATTTTGGATGCTTGTTTTGAAATAAAGTTAAAAAAAAGAAGAACTGACCTGCCTTTTGCAGAGTGACAAAAAAGAAGAAGAAGAAGAGTGACAGACTGTGTGTTACGCAAGGAGTTTGAACCATGGCTACGATCCGGACGTCCGGACCGCAATCCAGATGGTCCGGACTTCCGGTCTGGAAGATCCGGATCAGGCAAAAATACGAAAAAAGGAAGAAGGGGGGAAGTCGCCCAGGACCCATCCTAGGATGGATGGCGAACCCAGAAAAAATGTTTGCTGGACTTTTTAAGGCCCGTTTGATTTTTTGGATGGGTCCGGACATGGCCCAAAATACTTGTACCATCAAGAGGGCTATAACCCGAGGTCAAGCTTTTCATTCAAGGATTTGGGTGCTGGCACATTCTGTGTATGGTACATCATACTATATAACAGTGTATTAACTATTATCAAGTATAAAACACTATAAAACTGTATAACATGCAGTGTATTTTACTATTTTTTTTCTGTGGTTCGGACATTTCCGGACGTCCCAGACAGTCCGGACTGTCTGGACCCCTGCATGTCCGGATGTCTGGAAATGTCCGGAAGTCCGGACGCCCGGACAGGTCCAGACATGCGTCTGGTCGGATGTCCGGCAATGTCCGGGTCCGGGCCGGGTCCGGCATAGCCATCGTTTGAATATCTTGTCAAGTTTTCCCAAACTTTTATTTGTGGAAGCATTATTTCTAATATTTCTCAAGCTGCTTGGGACTAGAGGACCCCTTCTTTTTTTCTTCAAGAATTATTTTCAGAAACTGTGAAACTTTGAACTGTGAAAGCACGTGTGCCACAGAGGAAATAAAAAAATAATAAAATATGCTTGGACTTTGAGCATCTCCCCAAAAAGGGGGCAAGGGGGAAGGAAAAAAAGGGGGGGATGCCATTGGGAGGGAGGTGAAGGTGGAAAAWGAGTTTTTTTTYATKTTWRATTYTTTWRAARMAAAAAAAAAAAAAAAAAAAAAAAAAAGAAGTGAGCATGTGCTTAATCTGCTTGCACTTGAAAGAAAAGCCAAATCGAGATACAATTAACACTTGAAGATGTCGTCTCCGATATTATTATCAATATAGAAGAGTCTTTGTCTCCAGCGGCTCTGCCACACACACACACACACACAACGGATCTCAATCAAGTGGCGGCTATGGCTTCTCCCTCTCCTTTCTCTTTCTCTCTCTGCGCCTTGCTTCTCTCTCCCTGACTTGGCTCGCTCTGCCTCCCTCCCTCTCTCTCTGCCTAAAACATCACCCTGGATACACCCACTCAGGTATGCTTACACCTTGGAGGCTATGGCCGCTGTCCTCCTGCTCTAACCCTAATTTAGCTATGGAGTCACTCACAAGCACCCTCTTCTTCTTCGGGTGCGCAGTGCCCAAGTTGCCTTAACACACAGGCAGCAGCAGCACTTCCACATCTCGCAACTGAACAAGTGATGAGCCGCTGCACTTAGGAGCTAAATATAGGACTTGGCTTGGCTTGGCTTGGCTTGGCCTGCTTCAAACCGGTACCGGTCGGCCGCGGCCTGTCTGCTGCAAACATTTTGTCGGTCCGGCAGCTTCCGTACTTTCCTGGGACATGCTGCAAAATTGGACTTGGGACTGTCGAACCGGACTGGACTCTTTCGGACTTTTCTTGTCGGGTATTGGACGGACTCGTACCGACTTACGACGCTTCGGTACTGACACCAACCGACCTACGACGTTTCGGACCCCTAGACCCTACGGCCCACCATACTGGACCACCCTGGGACTGGGGACTTGTCGGGACCCAGGAACCGGGACTGGAACTCACAGCATCGCTTCAGTCCGTTACTCCGCTTTCGGAGGTCCCCTGGTTTGCGGTCCCTCTCCTCGTTCCCGGTGTTCGCCCCCTCCCCCTGAATAATTCTCTTTCCCCTCCACGTTTCTCCTGTTACTCTCTCAGGCTAGTTCCCCGTGCCTGCTAGGGCTCAAGCCTACTGCCTCTACCCGCTGGACCTCGTGAATCATAGCCTGGGAGCGGTTACACGCGGTTAGCTAGTGGTGGCGGGGGTCTCCGGACTTCTGGGTGTTCTCAAATTTGGCTTGATTTTCTGCCTCCGTTCCCCACTTTGCTTTCCCTTTACCTAGGCCGATCGGAGCCTGCTGTCGTCATTCCATCCTGCCCGTACCTGACCTGATCTTAGGAAAACTGCATGCAGCGTATGTATTCCTGCCCTGATAACCGTGCCCTGAATGTCTGATGCTGTACGTACTCCTCACGCCCGGTCGTATTCATAACCGCATCCAGTCTCCCAGGCGATCAGTCTCTGGTCAGAGAAAAAGTAGGGGAAATCGGCCACATGAATTCGTACCCTTGGAAAAGGCTTGATCTGCTTCTCGATGTTGTCGGCTGGCGGTCATTGCTGTCAGGGACCCTGGTTCGGACATAGGGTCCAGGTGGACGATTGCAACCCGGACGGTCAAGGGGGTCCCTAACGTCTGCCCAGGTTAGTGATTTTCTGTGTGCCCTGGTAATCACTAATTAGTAATTAGTGATTTTGTGTGTGCATCTGAATTACTTATTAGTAATTACCTAGTTAGTAGTTACTAATTAGTAATTATTGACTTTATGTGTACGCTTGATTTCATGTGTACGCAGTGCAGAGTTTACTGGAACCTGTTTGCAAGTTTTTCCGTAAAATTATTTCTCCAAGTGACGAGACAACGGACCGAATGAGGACGCGATCCGTGGAGGCGGTTGATGGTGAGGAGGTGGTCGCCTGGAGTGGAAGAACTGTATTTGTGGCGGGAGGCACAGGTAGAACAGGTCGGACAGTTGTGAGGCATCTTTTGGCAAAAAGAGATAAGGTGGTTGCTCTTGTGAGCAGCGAAAAGCGCATCCAAGAGGTACTGTCAAACTTGTTTTTTCGTTTTTCCCAAATCCTTCCCCCCCCCCTCCCCCCGCCCTTCCCTTCTCAATCTTTAACCGTCTCACTAGTAACATCCATGGCCAGTCTTTCAACAGAGAAGCAGCAGCATCCAATTCCACAGCATAGCAATTTCATTGTATAGCAATTGCATTGTATTATTTGTATACCAATTGCAGAACAGACATGAGGTGCCCAATACCACCTTCTTCTTCTTCTTCTTCTTCTTCTTCTTCTTCTTCTTCTTCTTCTTCTTCTTCTTCTTCTTCTTCTTCCTTGTTTCTTCTTCTTCTTCTTCCTTTTCTTCTTCTTCTTCTTCTTCTTCTTCTTCTTCTTCTTCTTCTTCTTCTTTAAATACAACTGTTTTGTCCTCGTATATGGGGACATCTCTATTTTTACTATGCCATTTCTTCACTCAATTTATCCTCACAATAGCTATCCATTCTACCGCGACCAGTATCAGACAGCAATCCAAATCTATGTACAACCAGGAGCAATATCAGACAGGCACCCAAATCTATGTGCTACGGACAGAGCTTGCTAAAGGGTTGCGGGTTTAAGCCTCCCTAGTCTACCCAAGCCTATCTATCCGCCCAGATCGTACGCTAATGTCCTAAAGCAATCGCTTAGTGGGAAAGGAAGTGCTCGAGCAATTACAACCAGGAGGTGGGATTGGAAGCAGCCATCCTTTGAAGAAAGCGTAATAGCTCACCGGTCTAGCTTCATCGTGCCAAAAATGGATCAGGGCTTAAGTGGTTCACCGAAGCGACGATACCAAACACAATCAATGTCGCTAACGCCTCTCCAGTCACACAGCAAGACATGCTGGACACAAAGTGCTATTATACAGGGAGAGAGAGAGAGAGAGAGAGAGAGAGAGAGAGAGAGAGAGAGAGAGAGAGAGAGAGAGAGAGAGAGAGAGAGAGAGAGATGCACTTGCGAGATTTATAGTTGCGAACAAGGCGGAGTGAAGGCAAGAATTGTGGTTGTAGTACGGTTGTACCCTTTTTCTTTTTTGTTTTCGTTATACCCTTTTTAAAGATGGGATTTTTTTTTTTGTAACCACAGAAGCCGGTCAAGGCAAAAAAATAAAAATCCTGTCTGGTAAACAAGGCAGACAGCAGTGAACAGAGTTCCAAGCGGCATTCACAACACAGTTGAGCAAAAGAAAAAGAAGAGTAAAAAATTCAACAAAAACTGCCAAAATATATAGGACCACTGATCAACTGCTTTTCCCCATTGCTTCTGGGAATCCCATCAAGCAGTGTGACAAAATCACTGGTTCTCTGATTTGATAATTCATGATTTGAACTTTTGTTGTGTCAGATCCTGGGAGATGAGATGAAAGAGCATGGACCCAATGGAAGCCAGCTGCTTGCACCTTTGGAGGGTGATATCAAAGATGAAGAAGCACTTCGGCGGGGGCTGGAAGGGTGTGATGCTGTCGTCTGCGCTGTTGGTACCCGCTTTGTCCCTGAGGTTGGATTTGTCGACTCACCTGAGGTACGAAACCCATTTAAGTCCATGGTTTTTGAATGATGGTTGGATAATGTTGTTTGGATAATGCTTGGAATCTTTGGACAATGTTGTTTGGATAATGCTTGGAATCTTTGGATAATGTTGTTTGGATAATCTTTGGATAATGTTGTTTGGATAATGTTTAGATAATGTTGTTTGGATTTCAATGTTGTTTGGATAAATGTCTGGATAATGTTTGGATAATGTTGTTCGGATAATGTTTGGATTTCAATGTTGTTTGGATAAATGTCTGGATAATGCTTGGATAATGTTGTTTGGATAATGTTTGGTGAGGGAGATAACAAATGACACCATGAATACATTGAATACAATGAATAGCCATTCTGGCATGGACAATGGTTTGTACCATGGTTACTCGGTGAGTGGATAGTCAGTCATTAGTGGTTCATTTGTATTGTCAGCAGGTTGGTATGTCAGTCGGTCGGTCGGTTGGTCAGTCGGTCGGTCAGTCAATTGGTTGTTTATGGGTCCAGTTGGTGTTGGTAGGAGGTGTACTGGCTGTTTAGCTGGTCAGTTGGTTCAATGCTCGGCCTGGTGAATCAGTCAGTTGTTCGGTGGTCAGAGGGTTTGTGTGTTGGTCAGTGGGTTGGTTGGGGGTTGGTGAGGGGATTCCAAGAGTGGGTGGGTCGGTGAGCTGGTCACTTGGTCACTTGGTTGGTTGCGGGGTTGCCAAGAGCTCGTGGGGTTAGTCACAAGCTTGCCAGGTTGGTCGTAAGACTGTGAGGTTGGGCAGTTAGGTTGGTCGGTAAGTGTGTTGATTGATCGGTTGGTTGATTGGTTGGTTGGCTGGGCCGTTAATTGATGGGTTCATTGGGTTGGTTAATTGATGGGTTGATTGATTGGTTGGTTGGTTAGTTAGTTGGTTGATTCAACTTGGTTGGTTGGTTGATTGGTTCTTTGTGAGGTGGATCAGCAGTTGGTGTATTGGAAAGTTGTTTGGATGGTCTGTTGAGATGTCTCTTGGTCTGTCTGTTGTGAGGTTTGTCGGACGATTGATCTTTTTCACGAGGTTGGTTGGTCGCTCCATCACGAAGTCAGTCGGTTTGTCGATTCAAGGTCAATGGCTCGGTTGGTCTCTCAGGTGGTCAGGATGTCAGTCTGCTGATCGGTCACTCGGTTAATCACTCTGCCTGCCACTTGGTCAGCATGTTGTAATTGGTCGGTTGTCCAGTCAGTTGCGGGCAAGGCCAGTCAGTGGCAAACCTAATAGGCCACAGAAGGTAGGCTGCTTATTCCGGAGGTAAGTCGGTTGGTTAGTCAGTTGGTTAGTCGGTTGGTTAGTCGGTTGGTTAGTCGGTTGGATAGTCAGTTGGTTAGCCAGCTGGTTAGTCGGTTGGATAGTCAGTTGGTTAGCCAGTTGGTATGCCAGTTGGTTAGTCGGTGGTTAGTCGGTTGGTTAGTCAGTTGGTTAGTCCGTTAGTAAGCCGGTTGGTTAGTCCGTTGGTAAGCCGGTTGGCAAGTCAGGAGGTAAGTCAGAAGGTGTGAGATTGTCTGGCCAGTGTAGAGTTACTTGCTACGGCAGTCGCTCGGGAGGTCACTGTCAATCCATGGATAATGAGGTTGGTTGCAGTCCGTTGATTTTGCACAGATGATCAGTAGTGGCAGGTCAACCAGACGGTCAGTCCCAAAGTCAGTCAGAGGGGCAGTTGCTAGTTGAGTTCAGTCGTCATACGTATTCATATATATAATGTAAAACAAACATGGGCTTGTCTGTCTGTTTGTCTGCCTGTCTGCTAAGCTCGGTTTTATCTGACGGTCTGTGTGCCAGTCTGGCAGTCCGTCTGCTGACCCCTCTGCTGGCCTGTCTGTTGGCTCGTCTCAGTTGGTTTGTCGGCCGGTTGGTTGTTCGATCTGTCTGTCTGTCTGTCGGTTTGTTTGCCTTCCGTTTTGGTAGTCTCTCTCTGTTGGTCCGTCTTTCGGTCTGTCCGACAGTCTGTCAGCCTGTCTGTTGGCCCATTCTGCCGTTCCATCTGTTGGCTCGTCTCGGTCGGTTGGTCGGTCTGTCTATCTGCCAGTCTCTGTTTGTTTTATGTGTGTCTGCCCGTATGTCTGTCTGTCTGTCTCTCTGTCATTTGCCTGTATGTATGTCCGTCTGTGTTTCATCTGTCTCTCTTTCTTTTGTCTGTCTGTCTATATGTCAATCCATTAGTGGATCAGCACCAGTTGCTGCGGGCTATAAATAGAAAGGTAAGCTGTCTCTGACCAACCTCTATGTGCTGGTGATTTTCTGAACTGTCCATTTCACAGGAGCTGTACGCCAAGGGCGTTATGAAGCTGGTACGTGTAGCTGCAAGCTTGTTTGGAGAGAAACCCATAAACTCCTCAAGGGAGGAGCTCTCACTGTTCAGCTTTGTGGAGTTGGGCGGGAGCTCTGCGGAAGGAGCAAAGGGTGCCCTCGACTCGGCAAGTCACGATGGGAGGATTCTGGTTGATGGATGGGCGCAACAGGATGATACCGTGGGAACAACAGGGCTCTCTGAGAGCTCATTCGCTCTCTCCTCCGGTTCGTTTCCCTTCCTACTATCGAGTGTGTGCCTTTACTGTTTGGCCTCGGAATATTATGGCGGTTTGCAGATGTGTGAGGTGCATCATATATACAAGGACACGAAAACATCACGCAGTGTGTTTGCCTCGCTTGGCTGATTCCCTCTCCTCTGGACTGCAGATGCTCCTTGCGGCTTTGTTGAAAAATACCTCCAACTGCAATTCACCACTCCTTGAAATTGTTCCAGCAGGGTTCGTGCACCAGTACCATGCCAACAACACAACCCACCAACCTCTCCTGGACCGCCACGGAGCTGGCAGTTCTCCAAATTTTGAAATACAATGTTAAATGCGAAATTCTGAAATTGTGCATTGCGCTGTTGCCATGATTATTATGCGTTTTCTGTCATTTGTGAGGATTGAGCCCTCAAGAAGGGGCCTTGCCATGATGTACATGTTCTGGGCTAAGGCCCCAGCAAGCCTCGTGCCCGCCCTAAGTGAAGGCGGGCCAGCAAGTCAACAAGAGCCCTCTGTGCAAACATTTCACGAAGTGGGGTCCATACAGTTGCAGCACGCCAGTTGGTTGGAGTGCACCGAGTCTCGAATCTCTGCAAATGTGGAGATCCCAGGGCCTCTAAGTTAGTTAGGCCCTGGGCACTTGAACGTGAGGCCGACAATGCATGCTGGGTATAGAGGCCGAAAATGCCAAAAGGAAATCGGCCCACTATCTGAATCTGGCCGCAGGCCTTGACAAAAGAGGCGCAACTGCATCACCCGGGCCCCAACTGCATCGGGCCTGGGTTCAGGAACTGGGGCCCAGTCGCAGGCTGAAGGGAGGCCGCCCACACGCAACACTGGCATATAGGCAAGCAGGGCGAGTGGGCAAGGATCCTTGGCCAATGCAGGCATTGCCGGCACGCTGTGCGAGCGCGAGGTGCTGCGCAGTGTAAAGCTGCGTTGGGCATGAGGGAGACAGGCAGCGGTAATACAGTGGTGCACTGCCTGGGCGCAGGGCGCTGGCGGCCATAGCTGGGCTGCTGGCGGGCGCAGGGGAGGTGAGGGTGAAGGTGGTTTTTCGGAGGTGAAGGGCGCTGTGTGGGTAACAAGGGAGAGTGTGGGTGAAGAGGACACGCACCTGGTGGAGGTGGAGGTCGGCATTGGTGTTGACATCATCACTCGCTGGTAGTCAAGTTGTCTGGTTGCTTCATTGCTGTAGTTGTAGGCTTAGGCTGTAGAGTAGATAGGGCGCCTGGCGCCATTCACAAGAGAGAGCTACATTGGGTTATGCTGTTGGTGTTGCCCTGTTGGGCTTGGACATTGACTCACGATTCTTCTGTATCATTCTCAAATGGATGGTTACTCGGTTCCATTGTGCTATCTGCTCTGGTTTTGACTACATGGACTTCAGTGTGATTTTGGAATCTGGATTTCTGTGCTTCGTCCATATTCATGTTCCTTGCACATTGTAACGGATATATATTATTATTATTATTATATAATGATTTTGTACTCTGTTATTATTTTGTGTATTTTTTTGTTTCTCTACCACAGGGGAACAGCCTGGTGAACCCCGTAGGTCTGGACAGAAAGGGAGAAAAAGACAAAAAGAACATGAGGCTGTGATAGACTTTCAACGAAGTTGCATCGAAGTTTTGTCGAAGTTTCACTGACTCATCCGGATGTGGAAGCGTCTGAACCCTTGGCAGTCTGCAGAGTCCTCTTCTTACAGATGACACTGTAAGTGGAAACCACCTTCTCAAACCCAGTTGGAGGTGGGGACCACTACTGCCACTGCCACTGCCACTGCCATTGTCACTGCTGCATACCTGATACCCTGAGGTGGGCACCAACCTTTGCCATCCAGAGTAACCTGTGAAGAAGGTCAAGACAGACCACCGGCTACACGGTGGACTATGACAGACTGTTTTGTTGGATTTTCGCTGAGTCACACTCTGGAGTCTGAACCCTCGACAGTCTGCATCACTCCCCCGTCTCCTGCTCCCCCCATCGTCAGAAGAATACTTCACTGAGTTCCAAGTCCTGCAAGGATAATACGAGAGCAACATGAAATGCCATGCCCCTGTTTATCTCAAAAAAAAAAAAAGGACATTCATGATTCGTTGTTATTTACCACCACCTCAGCTACATTAAGGCATCCCACTCTCCTGTTTCTTGTTTGACTTTTCTATATTTATTATTTTCTTTGCCTTTCTTCAATAGTACAAATCTAGAAAGACTGTCCTTGGGGACATCTGTTTAAATTGGAAAAATGCAGAGAAGCTTTAGCAAGGATGCCCCTGCGCAAGGATGACTCACATAAATCGAGAAATGTTCCCTTTTTTTTTTTTTGGGGGGGGGGGGGGGGGGGGCGGCAGGCTACAAATCCAGAAAGACTATTCCAGCCGGCATAAGCAATACAGAAGTTGAAAGGAATCTAACGTACGGTCCTCACGTGAATAGAACACCCGGCCATTATAGCTTGTATTTGGGGCAGCTTTCTATCTAGAATCTAGATACAGCAAAAATGGCCGGGAGTTCTATTCGGGCGAAGACGGTAGTAGAATGCGTATGGCAGCAAACAGAAGAAAAAGGCAGCTGACGAACAGACAATAATGATACCAGCTATCGAATTACTCAGTGATAAAATAGCACTGGGAAAGCCGGGTCAGCACAATAAAGAACAAGAACAAAACAACTTGAAAAAGGGACTGGGCTGTGCATAATGGGATGCTGGACCCAGTTTCCAGTCCCGCCGAAGCTGGGTAATGGCCCCAGTACTCAGGGTTGATATGTGGAGGGATCCCGGCGTCCCTTTGTGTTTGGCAATATATATGTATGCATAATATTAATTCCTGTTATAAAAAAAAGTTAAAAAACGACTGGGCTGGCGAGGGTACTGCACGCTGGGTGGGGCGTGAGGTAGCCTATCACAACACACGGAATAGTAAGGGGAAGGTCGGCCTTAGTATTAGGGGGACCTATCAGCTGTGAGTAGACGCACTACCACCAATCGGGAAAAGAATCGTTAGTTACAGAACCATAGCACCAATTACGATGAGAAGTCTATGATGGTTTAGGATCATAAGTCTACACAGACCCGACAGTGGCGGTTTAAACCACCAGTACGCCCGAGCCTGGTGGACTCTCACTGCACGCTAAGCCTTACCGAATACCAGCAGCGCAATTTTTTCCTTTTTTGGATGGTGCCACCAGGCATTCGGGTCCAGTACCCCCGAGCCTCCAAAAATTCAGGAACGAGCCATGAAACTTTTGAACTTGCCTGAAGCTGTGTGTACTGGCGGTTTCAGATCACAAATAACCCCCAAGAATTGTTGTAATTTATACCCCAACTAACTAGGTTTGTAGTAATTTATTCCCAAAGCTCTGACCTTCCTCATTAGGAAGGTGTGTCCCATCTATCTCCAGTCCTTCTGGTCTAAGAGACAATCCCTTTGTGTGTGTGTGTGGGGGGGGGGGGGTATGCGGGTCAACTGAAAGGAAGTGGTAAGGTCCAAATCGTAATGGCGGATAGCGACCGTATGGGGGTCGATTACCCATCTATTGATTGAGGGACAAGTGACTAAATAACAACTTACAACGTTAGGTGATATGGGTGAGACCCAACTGGTTTGATGTACCTATTAGAAGTCGTAGGACCCATAGTACTTGCTTAACCTGAAAGGGACCTAAGATTAGGAAAGCACTGACAATCTCATCAGTAATCGGGAAGAGGTCTATCCATCCGCACAACGCAGATTTCATTCTACGACATAGACGCAATGCCCACCTAGTGTCCAGGGGGTTAGTATCGGATGTTTGAACTACAAGTTTTGGAAATTGTGGTTTGATTTACTACTTTTCACCTCCTGTTCCATTTTGCTGAACAGATGGAGCTGTATTTGAAGGGACTCTGAGCACTGCGGGGCCGGCTTTCTGCGCAACAGGGTAAGCTTTTCGATAGGCGTTGTTGCTTTTCTTTTTTTTCTTTTCTTTTTCTATTTCTTTGTGGCTACTCCCATCATTAATTTAAAACAATAAAAACATTTGAAGGAGATAAGAAAATAGTAAAAAGTTACTAAAAACAGATATTAATATCTTAATAATCTTATAATTTTCCAACTTTCAAACCATGGATCCCAGCAACACCCAAGGAAGGCAGCCCAGAATCGGTTGGTACGCCAAGGGTCCACAAATAATAAGCTGGAACGTCAATGGAACATCCTAGCAGAAGAAGACAAACTCAGAGACATTCGCCAAGGACTGCTAGAGAAAGGTAGACCCAGACCGGATATCATTCTACTACAAGCAACCCACCTGTCTAATCTCAACAACCACAACAGATTAAAAAAGACAGTCGAGAAAAGTATAGGTGGCTGTCTTTACACTCTCTGGTCCAACAAGCAAGGCCTCAGCAAGAGAGGTACCGCTGTACTCGTGCCACAGTCATCCAAGATCTGCACAGAAGGGAGGATCCTGGGCGGAAAAGGTGACACAGAGGAAGGCAGATGGTCATGGATCTCCATAGTGTGGCAAGAAGAGGAACTGAAAATCCTGAACATCTACGCACCCAACAACGAATCAGAACGGCTCACGTTCTTCGACAACATAAAACCTCTCATACTGTTGCATACTGTAACGTTCAGACCAGAACAAGAACCGACCTTTCAATACAAAGTATAAGATAGCACAACGGAAGACTTAGATACCAGTGATCCGAACAATCAATGTTGAAATGCAGCCCTGAACATACATCATCATCATCGTTACATGGTGTGAAATGGGCCTGGCGCTTCACACAGGAAGACTGCGCCAGCCCATACCATACACAGACGAAGAGGAAGGGGATAGACGAAGAGGAGGGGGAAGATGGGAATGTCGTCAACACCAAGTCTTC